TGTTATTAAATAATTTTATGAGATAAATTAATTGTTGAGAATTTAAAAATAAGGAAATAAAGTTATGTGGTATAATATTTGATGTAATGGTTAGCGATAACATTACAAAATGATATGAAAGTTATACCAAATTTGTGGAAAAGTTGCACCAATTTGATGCTAATGGTTTGAGATGACCTAAGCCTCTGCCAATATTGGGCGATTTAGTCATTAACAAATTAAATTCCAAACATGAAAACTACCTAAATGAACAAGTCAACACGCGATATGTTCGCTCCAATCTCTATTAGAGATCCAAGATAAAAAAAAATTTTGGCAATGATGCACTGGAAATCAACCTCAAATGTCTAGTAACAACTTGATCAATCCCCAAAGGATCTCCACATCACGCCAAATGGTAAAATATAGGGCTCATCCAATAACTGAGTGTCTATCTGCTTGTATTTCACAATCGTAATCTTAACATAGAACACAATATCATAGAATTCATTGAGGACACTTTGGATTAACGAAATCCAAAGAATCTAACATAGAAAGAGAGCTTCAACGTTTTCAGAGAGAGATGAATTAGGATTTCGTCATAACCGTCAAATAAGATAGGTCAAGGTGCTAAACACTCATCCAATAGGCACAATGAGATCTTGAAATCCAATGGCCATAATCCCTCAATCAGTTTAAGAAGCGTTTTCACTTGAAGTTGCATTACTTGAAATGCGACTGTGGTCAAAACTGGTCAGCCATCAAACTTGTAACACAATTTGATAATACTGTTTCAAACCTTCAAATAGAATGTGAATATTATTACTTATGATGAATCAAATTGGAAATAAATTAAAATAGTACCTTTATACCCAACGGCAAAAAAGGAAAGTGGACAGTTTCACTGTTTCTATGATCACACGGAGCATAACAAAAATTCTCAGCTTAGCATAGTTAAACTAAGCAGCCCGAACCACATCGGTCCGGGTTAATCAACCACGTCGAAGTGAACAATGATATCACTATACAAGAGCTCGAGGCTCCTTTGGACCATAGCCACAACAATCATACGAGCCAAGCCTGGGAAGGAAGCTAGTTTATACATACGAACTAAGCCTGGTTAGTGGAGTCTGTCCATCCATTCCCTATGCCCACCTGATGAATTCTACCGAGCGTGTTGAATAGCCAGGCACACGGGCTGACACGGTTGAAGAAGTAGCTCATGATGCTGCAAATTCTTTTCTTCGTATAATTATTTATAACGTCATCGCCAATATTCTTGTCGAAAAGATTATATTGTCATTTCTTAATATTGATCCTTGTCAATTTCTACCACAATTGAAACAACATCCCATCCAACAGCCCAAGATGTTCAAAAGCAAAAAAACAAAAAACAAAAAACAAAAAATATTACTATTACAATTGAAAGAACATCCCATCTAACAGCCCAAGTTGCTCACACCTTCCGCTTTCTTCACTTTTTTAGTCGAATAATGAATTAAGTTTCACATCTGCTGCTTTCTTCATTTTTTGAAATAACAATCATGCTATATTCACGTCATCTTTTACATCATTTTTTACATTTTGCCACTCGACAATATTTCATTGGAAGGTTTAAATTTTTTTACAGTTTTTTCACCCAATCCACTTGACTGTCAATCATAATGTCAAAATAAAAAAAATTACGAGTGATATTTACCGTGAAATAACAATCAACCTCTGACGAATCTATATAAAACCGTGTACTTTGTCCAATATCATCTATGGATCAAAAACCATCTTCTATATTCACAACTTACAAGCACAAAATCATGAACACTGTCATGGCTTCCAACACCACCAAAGAAGTGCTTATCGACCTCTCTCCCGTTATCAAAGTCTACAAAGATCGAACAGTGGACAGGCTCATGGACACAGCCAATGTCCCGCCGTCGCCGGAAGACCCAGCCACCGGTGTAGCCTCCAAAGACATAGTCATTTCAACGGAGGTTAGAGCCAGACTATACCTCCCCAAACTCACAGATCCTAACCAAAAACTCCCCGTTTTAATCTACTACCATGGTGGCGGATTTGTAATTGAGTCCCCCTATTGTTTGTTCTACCACCGTTTAACCGACATTTTAGCCTCCCAAGCGAAAGCTCTAATCATTTCTGTTGAATACAGGCTCGCCCCTGAACACCTTCTACCTATAGCCTATGAAGATTCATGGACTGCCCTTCAATGGGTGGCGTCTCACGTTATTGCAAATGCTAGTATCGAAAAGGATCCATGGGTTACTAAACATGGAGATTTTGGTAAATTGTATATCGGCGGGGATAGTGCAGGTGCCAATATAGCACATAATATTGTTCTCCGGGCTGGGGTGGAACCTTTGCCTGGGGATGTGAAAATCTTGGGTTTATTTCTATCTTGTCCTTATTTCTGGGGATCAAAACCAGTTGGGTCGCAATCAAAAGAAGATATGACTGGTTTTGCATATAAAGTTTGGAAGTGTATTTATCCATCAGCCCCGGTTGGGATTGACAATCCAATGATCAATCCAATGGCAGAGGATGCTCCGAGCTTATCGGGGCTGGCGTGTTCAAGGCTGCTGGTTTGTTTGGCAGAGAAGGATGCATTTACTCCTATAGGAATTCTTTATGCTGAGACTGTGAAGAAAATTGGGTGGAATGGTGAAGTGCAGCTGGTGGTGGTTGGTGGAGAAGATCATTGCTTTTATTTATTTGATCCTCACACTGAGAAAGCAAAGTATTTGAATAAGCAAATTGCTTCTTTTATTTCACGGTGAGATATTTTCAGCTTTGGGAAAAAGTATTCATATTTCAGCTTGTGGTTTAGTTTAATTTGTATTGAACATGTTGTGGCCAAGTTTTACAATACAAGGCCATGTTTGATTGCCTTTCTT